CATTTTTTGGTACCCCAAGTATCGAATCAAGAAGCATCCAATCACAGCTCAGAGATTTAAAACCCATTTTACAGACTTCAGACGGAGGAAGCTCTATTTTAAATCATGATTCAGTTAACCTGACTTTTTAGCTTTTTATAGAAATTTATCTCTCACTGCTGGCCTTAGTACCTTAATGTGCTTGAACCACACCACGTGAATTAGAATTCAATACTTTTCATTAAAGTCGATAAATAGAATGTTGTCAAGTGTGTCTGCAGGGAACGGAAGGTTTTGACGTAACGGAAATTAAATTCCAGGTTTAGAAATAAAGTACGTGGCTAGCCGCTCCAATGTACGCTTCTAAACTTCAAAAGCGCTTCCTTCTTTTGCTTTAAACACAAAACGTTTGATGCTAAAATATATTTATAGATTTAGATGTATCTAAAATCTAATTTACGCTAGAGTAACTCGAGATTAATTCTCTGATCCACAATCAGTGTGTATAATGGTTGACAGCTTGTTCGTTCCTGTTGTCATGATACCCTACAAATGATGACGTTTTCGCGACACGGAACATTTAATGTGTTAACAAAACGTGCACTAATGCAAATAATTTTTTTTTTTCGATTTCCTGTTGTTTTTTTACTATCAATTAATGTGCCACAACCATGTCGATTTTCTTCCTTGTACGTACTTTACGCAATTAGAGAATAAAAAGAGACAAAAAGGATGGTATTTTTTTGAGTTGGATATAATAAAAGAGTATAATGTTAGAGTATAATAAGCTTGCGGATAAAGAAAAGAGTATAATGTTAGAGTATAATAAGCTTGCGGATAAAGAAAGTAGAAAAAGGTTAAGACAAAGCCTTTTTTACAGTTCAGTGCTCTAGTATGTATGCGTTGTCAGTCTGGATRTGASGGACATTATGAAAGAAAAAGGATGGATGGAAGAGAAATAAAACAAAGGATTGCAAGAAAGAAAGAAAGGAAGACGAGAGAGTGAAAGAAAGAAAGAAAGAAAGAAAGAAGGAACTGAAAGAAAGAAATATAAAGTTAAAAAGAGCTAAGAGATTAGTTGAGCTAGCTAAGATAACAGGTTTATCCAGCTTAGCCAACGGGTTTATCCCCCATCTTCAGATAAAACAGCTTCGTCCAAGTAAACTCATCCTATCTATGAATGTCAAGAGCAAAACTAAAGCTTACGTATTTTGCAGATAAGATAGATTTAGGTTAATTAACTCGATCCTTTTACAATGGAATGAATAGACCTCCTCGGCTCGAGCGTAATGTTGTCCCTTTTCAGACCACGTGTCATTCCCTTGAGAATAATATTCCCYTGTTTGAATTGTATCCATATTCATGTTATTCTCATGTGCAACCGAGTTCAAACCTTAAACAAAGAAATGATACTCTAGGGAATGACACGTGGTCTGAAATGGGAAAACATTACGTCAGAGCCGAGGAGGTCTATTKCTCCACTCAACTGATTGACTTATCTGCAGTATACTATGTCGCACCGCTTCAAGTGATTATTTTTCAGTCTTGCGAGCTTTATTCCCGAAAATATTCGTTATTAGAAATTTCGACGACGAAGTTTGTCAAAATAAAAGTCAGAGTTGTCATGACTACGAAAAGAATTAAAATATATTCAAAAGGGGGAAAAAAGCAAATTGTTATTTGATGGAAGGATGAGTATTGAAAGGAGCAACTTCAACAAAATTGTTGTCAGYAGTTAGTTTACAAAATATATAATATACGGAATACCTTATCGATGATCTACTAGTCTATCGGTTGTGCCCTGTCATGTTAGACGCTATTGAGAAGGATTTCGATTAAATATACAAAGTTTTTAATTTGGAAAGAAAATTGAAAAAATTTAGCTTRYTWATGCTGTGTCTTTGTTTGYTTTAATGGCTAAAAAGCWAATCATATATCACTATTTCTTGTACATTTTGAGATACATATTGTAATGACATTTATAATGTCGTTAAATGTTGCTGTTTTGTTTTGTTTTGTTTGTTTGTTTTTTTTGTCTTTTTGTTGCTGTTGTTGTTGTTGTTTTTTTGTTTGTTTTGTTTTGTTTTGTTTTGTTTGTTTGTTTGTTTTTTTGTCTTGCTTTGTTTTTTGTTTTGCTTAAAAGTGGGACATTTTCTTTTGTATTCATTCGGAGATGAGTATAAGACATGCATTATCCATAAAGTTACTTCACACTACGTTATAGATTGAGAGCTRTTCGTGATAACAGCCAATCCTCTACAGTTCTCAGTTATTAATTATCATTAACAAACGCTTAACGCGACCAAGATTTGATTAAGTAGAAAACTGAAGGCTTGTCTGAAAATGCAATAAATCTCACATKGGAGATGGCGTCTGCTATTTGAATCTTTCAGACGGTAAACACAAATGACAAAATATAAAATCAATATACATTAAAAATGTTAAGACCTTGAGGTGTGTTGTCCGGGAAGATTTGACAGCGTGTCTGTCGAAGTTGTTAACAGGAGRMGAAAACRTTAGTTGTTGTACCAAGTTCACTTWAAGATAAACTGAACGGACTGGAATTATAATGTCAGCTTTTTCAAAAGAAAAGAAAATATACTTATCTTAGGAAAACCAATTTCTGAATATCGGTAACGTTGTCTGTCTGTCGGTTGATTCATAAGACAAGAGGGATCTCTCAGTACCGTTTTTAATATACTATCAAGCTATTTGAGTTGGTAAATGGATAAAATGGCATGGGTAACTTAATGAGTGGATGGATGGATGGATGGATGGATGGATGGATGGATGGATGGGGTGGATGGGATGGATGGACGGATGGGATGGATGGGATGGATGGATGGATGGATGCGCAAGGATGGATGGATGGATGCATTAGCTGAAAAGGACGGATGGGATAGACATATGAATGATATCTAGATATATGGATGGAATGGAATGGAATGGATGCCTGAAAAACATCAATTCCTTTGGTTGGTTCACTAGTTGGTTCCGATGGATGAGATYGATGAATGGATAAATGAATAGATGAAATAATGGGAATAGGATGCTTGGATGAATCAAAAACTAAAAAGCGTAGGCGAAATAACCTCACTAGACATACATTTTCCCATCTTATCATCTTTCCTACTCATACCGGTAAAGCACCCTTAGTCCTAAGCAGCAAAAAACACTTGACATACCAATTGTACACCAGATATCATCAACATAAATTAAGACGGAAAGACGACAACAAATTCAGATGAAGATTAACATTATGAATTTCGATAGTTCGAGAAGTTACACTCGACAAAAATCCGCCATTGTTGTCAGCTAGATCTTCACAAAGAACAGAAATAGATGCRCCGTAGATAATTGAAGTTGAAACAAATTGCAAGAATTCCTGGTTTTGACAGCTATTTATTTTATTCGTTGAAGCAGAGATTCAAGAGTTATCTATAGAAGTCTGTTCTCGAGATTTMATTCCTGTAAACTTAACTTTCCTCCTTTGATATGAACACAGAATTCTATTGCCCGAGGAGTGAGGTGTAATCGTTGTTTATAGTTATAAAACAGATAGCAAGGCCAACATAGAAATCAATGAGTCATTTTATCAAAAAACTCTATCACGATAAACAAACATTCTTTCTAGAATCTCAAATTAATTGAAATATCCACTTTCTTTTCAAATTCTCATGAGTATAATAAAAATATCCAGTGTCAGTGAATTAAAMCTTKATCGAAAACAAAGACCACGGCAGGGAAGTACTCGCATTTATGATGTATTCTTTMTTWWTWTWTTTTTCAATTTCAATAATGGAGAGGARCCTGTGGTTTTATTGATGAACGAAACATTGTTTATGATCAGGTTATATTAAGTTCCATGTAAGCGGCCTTAGAAACACCTCATGAAATTATAACTATCGTTCCCTAAGGAGATATAACATTAACCAAGTGCTTTAGAAAACACGTATATTTTATACATTTATGAATTTTATCAATGCACTCTTTGATGGTGCTCACATATTCTTTTGTCTGTTGTGTGTTTTATAAGATGTTTTTTTCTGAGTCGCTGAAATTATTTCCCTCGAGGCGAACAACAGTGAGAATTCTTTTCTTATCGCTTCTTCACTCAGTTTCTGATGTATTGTATTCTGATGTATTCTGATGTATCTTTGAGATACGACTTTTTCGCTGAAAAAATGGTCATTTGGTTCGAGCGTGACAACATCCATTTCTGATATCCCTGTGGATAATGTATAAGTTTAAACATGTATTAGAAATCATTAACTACTACAAAGATGTTAATCGTGGTTGCTTGGAAATGTTTGCTGTCTTTGTCGCTTTGGACTAATGRACATATGCACGATTTTATGGAATTTGAGAAAAAAAATTAAAATAAGGTTAACTGAATGAAATTGTTAAATAACTGAAAGCCAAAAGCTAAATTATAGCGATTTAATTTGTCGCGCTAACCGACAGCTTGTCTCACATCTCTTTCTTTCTCTCTCTCTCTTGTCCTTTTCCTCTTTTCTCCTTACTCTCTTTTCCCTTTTCTTTCTCTTTYCCTTTATCTCTTTCATTTCTCCCTCTTACAACCTTTCGCCATTTTTCGACATCATGTGTGTATACATATATCTGTATACACTAYTCACAACACATGTCCCCATTATGGTATATCATATGAGATATATTTTCCTTTGTATACCCGCGAATACAATTGACAACGTGATTGACCTATCTCTCTCGCCTTTCAAGTTTTGTGGTTCGCCATAATCATATGTTTATTTTTCAAACGACCACGGGTAATTTTCCTCCCTCCTTCGACCCTAAAAAATAAAAAAATAAAAATAAAAAACGCACACAAACCAAGTTGAGGAGGAGTATTTATTTCAGTGCTTGAGTCCGCTTGCTAAGTATAGTACGTGACGATGTTCACAACACTCACTTCCAGTTCTTATTACGTCTGTTTTGACCGTCTTTCCTCCATCGTATCAAAGAGACCCGTCAAGACGTTCGTAATTAATTTTCTCCCTTTAATAGCAACTTATCAACATCGACATAATGTTCAGTTCATAAGAGGTATATGTTTTCAGACTTCAGAATACTAGATCCTGATTCCTATTTTACCTAGAAAATATACGGAATAAAAACTATCCTATGTTCGTGTCCTGAGGCAATTCAACTCATAAGTATATTCAGATCATTCTCATCCTCATCCATGTGGAAAGAACTTAAGGAGAATAAGATTTTGCCAAAATGCCTCATCAATTTGTATGGTTGATATTTTGGAAACCAAAGGTCGTGCAATATCGTTCGAAGTCAATGATTTAGCAAGTTCACGCATTCAATATATGGGGTTTTATAACTTCAAATCAAATCAATTTTATTTCATTTGTGATGAAATAACACTCTCGGTCCTTTCCCGGAAAAACTTCGGGGGAAAATATACACTCAAGCGTCACTCAAGCTTTGATAAATATATTAGATTTAGCGCGAGGATTGCATGAAAATTTAGAAATCTTCAGTAAAAGATACTTCTTCAAAAGTATTGCTTACTTGCGCTCGGCAAAYGCTCAAGGGAAATCATCGAAGCGCTCGCCTAATACTTTTCCGTAATTCCCTTCGAAAATCTTTTTTCATGAAAGCATATATGACGAAATTCGGCGTTGAATTCAGATATCGCAGCAAGAGAAATACATAGAAAGACGTGCTAGTTATTTCACAGTATGGTGAGATGAAACACGTTAAATGATATTGCATTGCGCTATTACACAGGAGGAATATGCCGACAATCGTCCCTACGGTCACAAGCGCGCCGTTTTTGTTCCCGCTTTGAGCCATTCTTTTTCTCGACGGATTATTTGACGCAATTTGTTTCTTTTCTTTTCTAATTTTCTTTTTGTGTCTCCTCGCTATACATAATATCCTGGCGTAGGAATATATCATGAAAAAACTTGGTAAAAATGCGAAAATAGCCATGTAGATGATGAGGTTTACGAAGTAGGCCTCGTCACTTGCATTCTGAACGTCGAGCACGAGATAGGGAATYTCCAGTATTATTGTAACTCCCCAGGCAAGGACTATAAATAAGAGTGCTTTGGAAGGGTTCATGAAGTTCTCGTACTTAAACGGGTGAACAACTGCCAAATAACGATCCAGAGTGAGCAATGAAAGATTTGTCACCGAAGCGTCGAGAAAGATATTCATAAAAAACCCTAAAATAACCCAATGAAGTTCTCGTTCGCTCTCGTGCGGAGTGAACGCGTAGAGCATATTCAAGGGGAAGTTGATAGCCCCCACACAGAAGTCTGCTAGCGCCATAGACATGACAAACCAGTTCGGAGAAGCTTGCTCGCGTAGAACTTGTCTTGCGGATATGAGATAAATAACGAATCCATTGCCAAAGATCGTTACAAGAGCGATTACGCTGCGCACAATCCAATACCAAGGCTGTCTCGAGAGGAGCGGAGATTCAAAGCCTGGCATCATCGGCATGCTGGCGTTCCCTTGTGCGTGTTGGAGAGTCGCGTTGTCCTCATGCACCTCCATCGTTCTTCGTTGGCCAGATCTTCCGTCTGAGTTCCAGTCTACCCTGTGAGTGATATATATACAAATATACTCATTTATGAAACTACAGATGCATCGGTCGCGAGAGCAACCGGCTGTCGGCTGTCAACCCCCATTTAATCACTATAGTGACGYGATCTCGTCAATATTTTTTGCGTTCCTAAGTGTAAAGACCCTCAAAAAATTACCCCTRAGTGAAATTACATCAGAATTCTTTGTCTTTGCGTGAATATTCTAAAAGCTATYGAAAATATTTAAGTAAAAGTTTTTCCTAAAAAAAAAAACGTTTGAGGTAATGGAATTTTAGGTTTGACTTACCGTTAATGGCGAGATTTCTGTTACAGTTAATTTAGAGTAACGATCACCGTGTTTACAGATGATCTGTGTCCTTCTTAATGGACTATCTCTCGTTCTCTGCGGTGTTGGGATTTCTGTTTTCCTGTGGTCACGATACGACAGCGTTTTTCTCGTACAACGCTGATCTATCTTCTTTGATCGTGAGTACACGTGGAAATATGGACACTGAAATGAATGACTCGATTCACGCTTGCCTAGAGCTGTCGTGGCTTCTCATGCACAAGATTGAAGACTATCTCTCAAAACCCGGAAAGCGATTTCTAAACCAGAATGTGTTCAGCATAGATGAACTGTAAGCCTTTTTAATCTCTCTCAGTGCAGGTGACGACCTAGAGTATTTGCGATTCGCTCCGTTTTAAGTCTCTCACTGTGAATGAAGCAATTCTCTTTGGTGKGTGACCTTGAGTTAAATTTCCAAATTGCTGTGTTACTGAAAGCAGCTGTTTTGTTCCGTTCAATTCACGGTGTTTTCTTTGGACGTTCCATTTCTGCTGCTACACTAGAAGTGATCAAACGTATCATTAGCTAATGCACATCTTTCTTTATCACTGGGGATTATTTTAAACCTAGAAATCAAGGAATCTCAAGTGTAATCAACTAATCTCTTTCAAAAACATGGACTGCCCTCTTTTCAGTTTCCCTGCTGCTAATTTGCCGACGATTGACGCAGTTATACGCACTTACAAATAGGTGATTGGGTGAGATACTAAATTGAGAATAGAGCGCCAAGCTGGGAACATTAGGGTCTCGAATTAGAGCAGGACCATTCTTGGTTAATACGAGTGGACCCCTTCTTTGAAAACACTCTCCTTGTGGCACTAACGATCCCAGTACGACACCTTGTTTGGCCCCGCGGTAAAAAGAACGTATTTAATTGGAAAGAACCTTCTGGTTGGCTGAGGAACGAAATGAGAGTGGTGTCATGGTGATTTCCTAGACATCACGCGACGCACTATTTGCTYAGACTTTCCTAATACATCCTGGAATCTCTTCCGTTGTCCATGAAGACAAGGTTGTGAGATAAGAGAAGAGAGAGTGAGCTTCAATTAAAGCGAACCAGAATGATTTCCTTTCTTCAGATTTAACCTACTTCCACCACAAACGACTTGAACAGAACTGACAAAGTACTTTGTATTTAGCTTAATCTTGCTGGACTTTTTCTCTTCGAACTGAGCTGATCAACAAGCCCATTAATCCCTCTTCCACCCCTCCCCCAATACCAATACTTTAAATACATATTCGTGTGGTAGAAATCCTCAGTGAGTGCACACGAACGTCATCTTCACTGATTGACGAGTCCTGGCTGATCWTGATATGCTTGCCAACCGATTAACTTATCTCCCTCACGTTTTATCAGTGGAGAAGTTGACAGAAAGATAAAATAGTCAGACAAACTAACCGGCTAGTGTCTGCAGCGTACTAATAACACTACAATAATAATAATCGATTCAACTAGTTAAGATACGTTTAGATGTGATATTTCCGTGAATTTCGTGCAAAAAAAGAAACAACGGGAGAAAAGAAAACAAAGGTTTTGCGTTTGTTTTGAAAGAGCGGTTTCTGACCGTTTTTGATCATCAGTTTAAGACGTCAATTAGCACATCTTTAGAGTCAATTTAGCGGGTCATCGCTCAAGATCTCAGTTAGTGATCGATATAAAAAAGACAACATAGCAAGGCACTTGGCTYCGCACTCTCAGGAAAGGCTTATTGAGAAGCGGTAGCGCTTTAGATCTCACCGTTTGACCAAACGATCTATTCAAAAGGTATATAGGAGACGTTTCCTGATTTTTCTCTCCTTACTGCGCAACTTGACATGAGCTTTTTCTAAGCATTGGTTTGRCTGGAATATTGACTAATTGATAGACTATTTAGGGGTGTTTGCCAATGGCCGGGTGAATTGAAAAGTCCTGCTGAAGTGGCGAACGCCATGAAGTCAGAAGTATAGTGTGTATTTCATGGATAATAACAGCAAACTTGGAAATCAACTTTTACCTTTCTCTCTCTCTCTCTCTCTCTCTCTCTCTCTAGAAATGGAACTAACTACCTCATACCTTAAAGTCGTCAACATCAAAAAAGATTTTTAAAAATGAGTTATTATCGGGCAGGCAATTTGTCAATTAAGAGGGAACTTTATTCAATAATGGCAAAAAGCGCCAAAAACTAGACCTTTGTATGAGTTTTGATCTCAACTTTCGTTTTGGGTTAACACTCAAACCCTTTTTAACAGTTAGAAACTGATGTTCCATTATAAAATGCCTGTTTGGAGCGGTATTTAAAATACAAAGATGTTTTGTTGCATTTGTGTTAGAATGTAGTTTTGTCAGRCTTTTTTATAGAAAATGTATGGGAAATAAGCAAATGAAGGCCTAAACCTCATTTTCGAATAAAATTTTTGCTTTGGGTTAACACTTTGATTCCACTTTCATCGGTCATCTCCACTTCCAAACAAGTTAAACTTTCTGAATAACAAGATTTTAGCCCGTGTACAACAGCCTTTCTTCAAGAAAATAGTTTTTGTCGCTCACCGCTTAAATACGAAAATATTTCTCTCTTATTTTAACTATCTTATTGAATTTATGTTAATGATTTAGTTATTCCAATGTAAGTAACTTTTATATTATATACGGCTTTCATGTCAAGAAGTTTTTTAACTTATGGAACTACCGTGTTTAAATAAAGGTGATTCATTCATTCTCTCTCTCTTTTTCTTTCTTTCTTGCTTCTTTCTTTCTTTCTTTCTTTCTTCCTTTCTTTCTTTCTTACTTACTTACTTACTTATATTCTCTAATTGTTCCTTCTTTTCCTTTGTACCGATCAGTTTGTTTCGTTTAAACTTGCATCGTCTCTGGTTATTGCCTAGCTTGAACTGATATTCTCGGCAGTATATATCGTTATGAAAGAGAGAAAGACGATCGTTTCTATTTTTATATCATATGTTAAGATCACCTAATGTGATACCAGTATGCTAGCTCTTAAAATGTAAAAGACCACATTGATGTAACTTAACAAAAATAACGACCAAATTAAGAAAGAAAACCACTTATCTCGTTCAGACGTCCTTGGAAAATGTTTACTTTTTAACCTTAAGAATTAACTTCAAAAAGGCCGGGAAAAAAGAAGGGAAAGAAAAGGTTTTTTTGTGAATTGAAAACTTTCATTGCTTTCTTTCACGTGCAGACAAAGGTCGCATGACGTCATCACACATGCAATAGAAATTTTATGCTCAATATACTTTGTTCTAACTGAAAGTGTGGCTAATATAACTCCTGGTTTATGGATATGAACTAGGCTACCAAAATCACTGAAACACTAGGGGTCTTTTCCTTTTCAATTTCCCCAATACTTGTCCGCCATTGTTCATTAAAGTTTGTTTTTTCATGGMAGATATTATATAAGAATCAAGAAGTTTTTGTTGATTGTTTTCTAGACGCAAAACATCCGTCCTGCTGTCGCAAAATGTCACTTGTACGGCATACAGAGAAACAACAAAATGACACTAGCAGTATGGGGCAT